TTTTTTTTTTGAGACAGAGTTTAGCTCTTGTTGCCCAGGCTGGAGTGCAATAGCATGATCTCGGCTCACCACAACCTCTGCCTCCCAGGTTCAAGCCATTCTCCTGCCTCAGCCTCCCGAGTAGATGAGATCACTGGCGTGTGCCGCCATGCCCAGCTAATTTTGTATTTGTAGTAGAGATGGGGTTTCTCCATGTTGGTCAGGCTGGACTTGAACTCCCGGCCTCAGGTGATCTACCTGCCTCAGCCTCCCAAAGTATTGAGATTACAGACATCAGCCACTGCGCCCAGCCTTCTTCTTTTTTTTTTTTTTTTTTGAGACGGAGTTTCACTCTTATTGTGCAAGCCAGAGTGCAACGGTGTGATCTAGGTTTACTGCAACCTCCACTTCCCAGGTTCAAGTGATTCTCCTGCCTCAGCCTCCCAAGTAGCTGGGATTACTTACAGGTGCCCGCCACCATGCTCAGCTAACTTTTTGTATTTTTAGTAGAGACAGGGTTTCACTATGTTGGCCAGGCTGGTCTCGAACTCCTAACCTCAGGTGATCCACCTGCCTCAGCCTCCCAGAGTGCTAGGATTACAGGCGTGAGCCACTACACCCAGCAGTTATTTTAGAAAAATGTATTTTTTGTTTGCTTATATGCAGGGGAAAGAAACAAAAATAATTGAAGCCTTTATTAATTTATACTGTTTCCAAAGCAGAAAGGACCTTTTATCCAGACATAAAGAAATTTTCTCTCTTGTATCTTTGAAAAGACATTAATACATTTCAGGGGGGAAAAGTACATTTAAAAACTGATTCTGGGCTGGACACGGTGGCTCATGCCTATAATCCCAGCGCTTGGGGAAGCTGAGGTGGTGGATCACCTGAGATCAGGAGTTTGAGACCAGCCTAACCAACATGGCAAAACCCCATCTCTACTAAAAGTACAAAATTCACTGAGTGTGGTGGTGGCTGCCTCTAATCCCAGCTACTCAGGAGGCTGAGGCAGGAGAATTGCTTGAACCCAGCAGGTGGTGATTGCAGTGAGCCGAGATTGCGCCACTGCACTCTAGCTTGGACAACAAGAGAGAAACTCTGTCTCAAAAAAACAAACACCGATTCTGGTTTTGTTAACAGTTGCCTAACTAAAGTATCTTATTTATGTGGCTATTAGGTTTTCATATGAAATTTTCTTTTTTCTTTTCTTTTTTTTTTGAGATGGAGTCTCACTCTGACGCCCAGGCCAGAGTGCAGTGGTGCAGACTTGGCTCACTGCAATGTCCGCCTGACTGGTTCAACCGATTCTCCTTTCTCAGCCCCCCAAGTAGCTGGGATTACAGGTGCACGTCACCATGCCTGGCTAATTTTTTGTATTTTAGTAGAGACGGAGTTTTACCGTGTTGCCCTGGCCGGTCTCGAATTCCTGAGCTCAGGCAAGCCACCCGCCTCAGCCCCCCAAAGTGCTAGGAGTACAGGTGTAATCCCTCATATGGAATTTTCTGATGCTTGTAAGTTCAGTTACCAGTATGGGAGACCTGTAGCAGTTACATCGTTTTATAGGAAAATTAGTCAAGGCATCTTAAAAAGATAAGAAATGAGGTAATGCTTTTTTTGTCACTCCAAGTCTTAAATTGATTGGGACATGTTTGCTGTTCTGCAGATGTGATCATATATGTGGCACTTACTGTAACATGGACTTGGATCACTGTTCTTGATTATCAGTTTTAAAGGAGAATCTTTATTAGTCAGTAAGAGTAACTGGGAGGATTTAGTTTTTTGTTTTGTTTTGTTTTTTCTTATTTATATTTTTACCACTCTTGTGCATGTGCAAATGTTCTGCACTAATAGAAAATATATTTTCGTTTTTAGCATACCATTTTCTTCATTTGTCTATTTCTCTAAATTATTTTATTTGAAATTTTTTATTAGCAACTCGGAGCAGAAGCCGCACCAATATGCTAATGGACCTACATATGGACCATGAAGGATCATCTCAAGAAACCATCCAGGAGGTGCAACCAGAAGAGGTGTTGGTCATTTCCTTAGGGAC